GTGTCAGTGTGCTATTCTTTTCCTCCTTGAGCAACATCTGCCATGAGAAAGCCTAGTGGAAATCCACCAACCCGCAAACAGCAGCAACAAGAGCAGCAGCCACAAAGCAGAAGTGCATATCAACGCTTTTTTGCTTGGCACATATCCAGGCAAGTACAAGATGAGAACATGCCTAGGCCGTTGCCTCGGCATATTAATGAATGGTTCTATCTATCATATGGCATATGGCATACACGGAATCTGGGACGACATCAAAACATCGAGCTAGTCACAACACAGCGAGGTGTAGTTGAAATTGAACCCTGCGCCGGAGGGACGCAGCGCACTGCACAGACGTTCTCACTGCACCAGGCGCATTTTTTGCCGAATCCATGGAGGCTGAAGAGTATTTGTTGTCCACCTGAGGCTTCCCAGTAGTAGGTTTGATTTTCAGGGCTTGTTGCTATGGGATTGGAGCCGCAGGTCCCGTTTGCTCTGTTGACATAGCTGATGGGATTTGGGATTCCGAGCGCATTTCTTAAAACAGGTTTGCCTAAGGATCTTTCTTGGGAATTTAGCTGCTGCCTAAGCTAGAGCCAGCAAGTCAAACATGCAAACTTCTCGTGGACGAATATGCAGCAGAGCCTGAAGCTGCATTCCCCAAAAACCCCTTGGGCTGAACTGGCACAGCTCCCCTTCAAATCCGATACGCTGGGAAGCCCGCAGTGCCCCTCGTTCTGAAACGCAGACCTGACACGGTTCGTGCAGACCCAAGAGTTGAAGTCCTCGGAACCCTAAGTTTCAACGGCACCTGCTCCGCTGCCTCCACGAGATGCTACTGAATCTTGAAGTTGCAGCCTGCTGAGCACTTGGAAGGTATCAGGCTGCAACGTATTGCGTTGGAGCGCGACGAGCCTGAAATTGCGGGATGAGGCCGCTTTCTATTCGCAAAGGCGTTGCCATTCGACCTGCATGAGAAAGTGAAAAGTCTCTGAGTGAAAAGTCTTTGCCTGGAGCCTGCGCTGAAGGCTTGCGGCACAACGCAGAGCCTCCAGGGCCAGACTAGCTGACTAGCTGTCACTAGCTTGCATTAGATCCTTTAGCAATCGATCTTTGGGAAGCAGTGCTGCCTCTCAGTCATTGTTGTCTCTCATGCCGATAATAATTTCTGATAATCTTGCAAAGGCATTTAAAGGTTCAATGTCATGATATGGCGCATGAAAGTAGGAGTGGTGAGGGCTGGCGGCTGAGGCTGGTGGGAGATCCACAGTGTGTTGCTTCTTTGTTGAGTGATGCCCTTGCCTAACTCATGTATCCTGGGGGGGTACCCCCCTTGAGATTTTAAGCGCCAAGCCAGAAATGTATCCAGGCGGGGTCTTTTCATGACCGGTGTTGGTGTGTCGTGTGCGCATGTCATTACATGATGCCGCGTGGATCACAACCTGTTTGAAACTGCTGGCATCCTGCTACGTGCTGCCATGTTCGTTTGGGTCTAGGGGACAGGGTGTACGGTCTAGGGTTCAGGGTTTAGGATCTAGGGTTTACGGTTGAGGGTTTAGGGCTTAGCTAAGGAAATCCGGGGCTTGGATGGGTCAAAGTCCGAGTGTTTTCTCATGTGTAGTCATTCAGGCTGGGAATACATTCCTGGGTCTTCCTCAGCCCATAACTGCAAAAATCCTTTCTCGTTCCGAGAAAGGAGTTTGGCAGCCAACTGTCCCCACATTTAACTTACATACTAAGCCCCCGTGACTCTCCAAGTAGGGATGCGGGTAGAGTCCTGGAACCATGTAAAGGCCTCCTTAGATACGTGTTACGTGTCTTCTTCCTGGGAAGCCACTAGTCAGAATGTATTCATGGGGGGGGGGTCGCGTTTTCGAGTTGGGGCAGGGTGAGTCCCTAATCCTATTTGCCTTGTCAGATCGGACCACGGTGGCTTTTCGAGCCTGAGGGGAAGTTTCGCTCCATCTTGCAAACTGCCAGCTCTGCCTTCACTAGGAAGGCTGCTTGGCAAGAGACGCTGATGATACTGGCCGGTGCCTGCTGGCCACAGTGACTGTTTGTGGCAAATCTTGGCAACGTGAGCATGTTGTTTTATATCCAGCCCTGGGATCGGATGAGCCGGTTGTGCATATGTTGGATTTTGAGAGGCATCCCGTCTGCTTGTTTTGAAAGGACTCAGCCAAAGTTTGGGAAACCGCAAGCAGGTTTTCCAATGTCCGTTCCACGGCAATGGGGCCATGCAGTTGTTGTAGTGGTTTTCACGATTCTGATGCTTATGTTTTGAGTTTTTTTTTTCAAGGTAAGTTTTCAAGTCTGCAGTGCGTACACTCATCGCTCTCGTGAAAACCGCAATGAAATGCAGGAAGGACAGCTGCCTGGTAGCTCTTGACTGCTTTACGTTGGTAGTTGGTCACCGTTTGCATAGGCTAAGCCACAAACCGAAGCCCTAAACCGCGATTCCTCACACCCAAAGACACATTTTCTGAGACCAGAGGTGATGCAAAGCGTCTCGCATGAGCCCAAAAAGCTTTTACAAGCATGGCAGTGTGTCGAATCGCAGAATTTTCAGATCCTCAAGCACAATCTCTGCAGCCCACAACCACCACCAGGCCGCATTTCCCTTTAAGCTCCTTTCAGACCTTTAGATGCTGGAGCCCGTCCCTAACCCCAACAGCCTGAACCACGAGCTGTTCTCTGGAAAGACCAGTATCCAATTCAGAACAGAAAATTCCCGGCCATCACTTCGAACACCAGATCACAAGCACCTACCCTTTGCCATCATTTTCAAAACATCGACTATGAAGTTTTCCGGCCGAATTTTTCTTGACATCCAAAAGTCTGAACTACAAAGAATGCCACCATTGAGGCTGCATGCGGCCTGACATGACCTTGGCCTCTGTTGTGACAGAATGGCATGTCCAATTTGGTGATAGCATTCTTTACAGTTCTTCTACAGCCTCTGTTCCTTGGTGCTTCAAGCAGCAGCATGCTACAAAGCAGGAAGCTTTCCCTAGAATCTAGCATTTGCAGGAACTCTGCCCGCAATCTTAAGCCGCGCCAATGCCTTGCCCATTACATTAGAAGGGCGGAGCAACAACCATGGCATGCTCCTCAGCCTTCACTACGCAATCAAGTCCATTCTGTGCAAAATGTTTAGGTTCACAGTCACAGGCCTGGAAGTCCAAATGAATGTGCCCGTTTGCGACATGGTGCACTCAAGGGTTTTTCAGTTGTTGTCCTTGGTTTTTGGCGGCCTTCAGCTCTACGGCCACTTGGAGGTGAACTCCCATGCTTAGACAGCTTCTATTAGCCTGCTTTGCCTTGTGGAATCGTGTGGACAATCGCCAGAATTGAAAGCCTTGAGCCAGGCCAGGCGTTGTAAAGGATTCTACTCAACATCGGCGCGGTTTGCCAGATTGGAAGTAGGCCGCTTTTCAACACATGTGCAGGGTTGCTTCTCCGACGGGGTACCAGGAAGTTGGAATCTTACGACGCATGTTAGTCCTTGAGTTCTAAGTCTTGTTACCTGTCAGGCCTCCCGCCACGAAAACAGCAGTTGCGAGCAACCAACGCATCTGATGTGAAAACGCATGTCCGCAGAGCCACATGCAGAAATTCGGAATTGGCACCCTTTGCATATGTTGGCGCTAGATTTCATACCGACTTAGTTATTCCTCAATTATCCGTCACCTCTCGGATCGTCTTATTGTTTGCAGATACAAATTCTACAGCCCTGGATCCTCTAGCAGTAGTTGATCAAGAATGTGTAGAGACCCAAACATAATTACTTATTTTCAAGACCTAACTCCTGACCTGGTATGGCAACGTACTCTGCATCATAGTAATCTTGGCTCGGGTACAAAGGAGAACAACATTATGTTAAGACGGCCAGGTCAAGGATTTACCCTTTGGCTGCGTAGGTGTTTGTATCAATATTTCTTCTGGTTTGATGACGATACCGATGCCATGTGAACAGAAGAAGCGAATAGAAGTAGCTTTCAAAAGACCATGGTTGCATCAAAGCCCCGCTCAACGAAAACCACCAGCATCACAGACCTGATGTATGTCAAGTCGGCCCGCGTCAAGTGTTTTACTCTTACCCTGTTCTTCTTGACTTTCGAGCCCCTCATTACTTATCTTGTTGACTGAGCGAGGGTGAAACATCATGTAAAAGATCATGCAATTTCATGCAGGCCATTTGTTTGGAAGAATCAATGGATCTTCTAATGTTAGTTTGTCTAGAGCAGCTACCTATGTGTACACAAATGACATGGTCGTTCCTCAGCCACTCACTAGGTGCCAACATCAGAACCTTTTCCTGTCAGACAGATGCCGTTCTTACCCGAAGTACTTAGAATCTTGAGCATCTTTCTCTCGGGTACCGGATGTGCACAAATTCGAGAAGTCGCTGCGCAAAGCTCTGCTGGGCCAAAAAAGATCCAATCCGTCAATGTAATATTCCACAATCCAATTGTGATATCCAATAAAGGCCTTGTTAGCATTAAGGGTCGTGTGGGCGCTCGAATAGATTTGCCACGGGTCTGGCATTGTTCAGCCACGCCAAAATGAGATGCTAGGGTTGCAGCGCAACACGTACAGCTGCAACTACAGGCGACGTTCTATTTGTAACCTTACGTAAAATAGTCCGTCTGATAGTCCCAATGTATCCCAATGTGTTGTGCAAATGGCAGCGCTAGCCGGCTTCCCTGTACTGCATGAATCTTGGTTTGGAGCATTCAATTCTGTGCTGATTTGGAATCCCAGGACCTCAATATGAGATTGCTCTGCGGGACACTTGACAGTGTGAGCTCATGAAGGATATGCATAAAGGCCACCAAGGTTAACTTGTGTCTGAGATCAGGAACATGACGTGAGCTTGTCGGCCTTTGTAACTCTTAGTCCTGACCATTTAGCACCCGATCATACCGCCACCACCATTGCTGGCGATGCACGCCCCCCCAACCCCAAGGCCACCACCACCATTACCCGCCACCGCGGCCACCGCTTCAGAATGTCGACAGGAGGGTGATGTCGTGTTCTGGCGGCCCGGCCGTGGCGATGAGTGGTCTGCAGCTACTTGTCAAATTTGCCTCAGAGATTCCCACGCACTTCCGGACCTTGGTCTTGTAATCTATGTAGTTTCACCTGCAAGTTGAGCTGGAATCACTCGATGCTTCTTTCGACTGCTCGTGGAGCCTGTGCCCTGTGCATGATGGAAAACGGCCCTGTCTAAATGCGCTTTTTGCAAGGATCCTACTGGCTGAGCATTGCCATGGTCCGAAGTCCTGTTGCCCTGTACCAAGGCACTAGTGCTGGCTGTGCAGGTTGTGTACGAGCCCTCCAGTGGACCGCATGGCTACTTGCCTACTTGCAGCTGCGTTCGTGTTTTTCTTTGCAAACGCAGCAGACAGTAAACTCCTGCCTTTATGTGCAGTTTTTTTGTTGCTGGCCCACGCTCGGTCTGTAACTAGCTTCGCGGCCGTGCTGAGAGCTGGGCTGGTCGGTCTTTGTGCTAGTGGTGTGCTACACAGTAAATGTGAATGCCAGCGAGGTTGGATATACCTTCAACCCCTTCTGCCACGGCACGGGGAATTATTTGATGCAGATGCAGATGCCGAAATGGAGCAGGCTGCCTTGCTTGCCTTGCCTGCCTGGGGCTTCGGATCCTGTGAGCAGTGTGGCGTTGAGTCCTGCAGAGTTTAGAGTGTGTGTTGCCATTCTGCTTTCGGACTTGGTTCAGGGCAGTGCTGTTTTCAGCTGGAAAGCCAAGATCTTGCATTTCCCTGCGAAAAGTTGTGCATCTCTGCAGGGGCTGTTTGTTGCAAACAAGAATCCTCCTTCAGAACGTACGTGCTCAGAAAGCTTGTGACACATGAAGAAAAGAAGAAGATGCAGCGAAGACGCAGCGAATGCAGCGAGGACAGGAGTGGCAGAAGGCTAAAACTCGAAACATGAAGCTAAGACAGCTAAGAGGGCCCTCTGAGCTGGAGCAGAGGGAAGCATTGAATTACACATGTCTGGACGAGGTTGAGCCAGTCAGCCTTGACGGCGTCAACTGGGCTTTCGTGCCCGTGGCATGCAGACCAGCAGATCTCGCATGAAGTAAAAGCTTCTTGGGCTCTCCTGGGGCTCTTTCCTTTACCGTAGATGATTCTTGCATCGCAGCATCATCATCATTTAGATTTGTTGTGAGTGACGGTCTGGGCAGGTGGGACGCCATTAGCGGTTTAGAGGCCGAAACATGCGCCTATTGCTAAACTTCCCGTCATTCTAAGTAGGGCCGACGACATTGCTTCCGTCTACGGCAGTCGGTCCTAATCCGGCGCCAGCGCAAGAGCACTTGGCGGAGGCAAGAAGCGTGGAGGAAATTGGTGACGGAGTTTGGCGGCTGGCACCGCCTGAGTATCTACCGCCATAGCCCGCGAGACTTTGACAGAATCTCACCACAGGCCCTAAAAGAGCTTGAGTGCCATGTTGTGCTGACAGGCTTAGCTAGGCTTGGCAAGGAACTTGTTCCAGTGCCCTGTGTGTGCATTTGGATACACATGTGTGTATATATATATATATACATACATAACATACATATATAGATATGTACGTAAATGCACACACACATGCATACACACACGCACACACACACACACGCACACACATGCTGTCCTGTAAGGATTCCTGCCAGTTTGGTCCTTCATTCTCACCTTCAGGGAATGGCGTGCTTTTTCCGGCAGGGCTGTCGGATTCCCATCCCCGCTTCTCCAAGTGCCGATGACTCTCGTAGAACTTCACGGGAACGGAAAACGTGCTTTTCTCGGCATTTGGGTTGATTGCAAGGTGTTGGGAGGAGCCTAGTTGAACTTAGGAAAAGGTGTTTGCATGGCAGGTTTTAGACTACGTAGCCTCCTCAATTTACTGGCACTTCATTTAAAAGCTTGGGCTGATGGGACTCTTATGTGATCTGACTTTGAATCGCTACGGCTCTACTTGCTGCTGGCTCAAGTATTGGGCAGGGGCATTCGACATAACAACTTGGCAAAGTAAAGCCTGCCCCTAGAAAACCGCCTTATTAAGCAGGTGCAGACAAGCTCAGACATCCATGTGCCCAGCGGTCCCTACATAAGTAAACATCATCAGCCTCGACAGCGATTTGTCTACGCACCGTAGGCGTGGGTGGACACTGAAGATCCTACCAGGCAAAGCCTCAGGGGATCTCAAAGGCTGGCTGAGCCGTTCGTGCCGCTGGACAGCATTGGGGATTTGTTGATTCTAAGCGGGAAGAGGGCCGAGGATCCCGAGAGCTTGCAAGAAATGGCTTGTATGGGCAAGATGTTACGCCAAGGGGCCCCATCAATTCGAATGTGAACGTAAAACCTTAAACCCCTAGAATAGCTCCCAATGGAATGCCTCATCCTGATTTCACAGCCCATGCCCTATGTGGAGAGCCTTGTGCTTATTGAACCCTTGCTCTGATGTGGCAAGACTGAGAGACTGCGCAGCAGTGCTCTGACGGTCTTTGAGATTGAGCTCACTACATGCACGTTAAGGCGATGCCGCGTGGGCCAGACCTTCCATTGAACATCGCCATCTCAATTGACATGGCTTCTGGGCATCAAATTGCTGCTCAACCAATGCCAGACTGAAATATAATTACCGCGTCATATCTACACAATCTACACTTGGAGCTTGCAACGCTTAAGTACTGTGAGAAGGAATGAGGACAAGGTTTATGGTAGCTGTATGCTGCTTTTCGGTCGCATGCCAACTTTTTCTTTCCTGCTGCATCTGGCGCTCGAGGCTCGAACGTAAATTGCGCATTCACATTCTGTTCACTGCACCTCTCGTCATGACCTTGCCATGATTTGCTGTTCCATGCTTGCGCATTTGCAGGCACCAATGCTGCATGCCATCATGCTTCCCCTGACCATTCCGACTCCTACATTGCAGCTTTTCAGCAGTCAAAGATAGCCCTAGGGAGTTTGGAGATCAGCAGAGCGAAGCTGTACATTTTGGTTGTTGAGAGCATTCGACTGGGTAGATGGAGTTCAGGATGCCAGGCCGTCACAGGTCAAGGCTGGTTTTCTGATGGAAGCCGAAGACTGCCAATGTCAAGTATGCCTTCATTGAGGCAGATCAAGTTCTTGAAGCTTCTGGGTGAGATCGTGGAGGAAGTCGGTGACTACATGTGCTGGTGGTTGCTTTCAAGCCTAAGCACGTTGCAGTTCCTTAGGCTTGATTGACAGCAAGCTTGACTGCTCATAGCCAAAATAGGCAAACACCTGTACAGGAAGTGACAACTGCATTGTGAGGTGTGGGTGTGTGTGTGTGTGTACGTACCGTTCTAG